TTTTGATCTTTGCTTATTTTCTCATAAATAAATGAGTAGTTTTACTTGTTTTTGGCTCTCCGGACTCCAAATTAGCGTTCAGCAGAAATGTTGGCAGATACAACTGATGACAAGCAGGCCCAAGTCAACACTTTGGTTTTTTGTTTCACGCCATAAAAAGGCTGGAAAATGCTGATTTACAACGCTTATTATACCAAACTGCTGTGATTCAGACCGTTTAAAAATTACATTTCACATTATGTTCACCTTTGATGATAAAGCTTGTTGCTTGATTGTAAAATACCTGACTTCAGCACATCTTTGTCACAAGTTAAAACCCGATTAGGTACACGGCAGAAATATAATAAAATATATAACATAAATGTTATATAACATAAAAGGCATATTGTTTTTCTCTTAAATTGTTTAATTTTATTTGGGATCCTCTACTGACAACATCTTCAAAACCACAACTGAGACAAAACAAGTTAAGGGATGTGACGGGCATTACATTGACCAAACGGTGACGTGATAATAAAATTAGTTGTTTGCTGCAGCACTATTGTACTTTAAGCTGCTGCTGCTTCTCTCAAATATTCAAGTAAGTTAGGTATAAAAATGTTGGAACGGTGTTTTTTAAATTGTGTAAAAAGTCTATTTCTTTCACTAAACGCATGTTTTACTTTTACTATAGTATAAAAAGAGATTTGAATGTTCTGCCTCAGATTTGTGAAGTGATCCACTGTTTGTTCTGACCATGAAGAAAAGTTTCAAACAATTAACCACGTGATCTCTTCAACTTTCACTCAGGAGCTTTAAACTTGAAAGAGACGTTCATACTTCTTGATATTGAATCAAAGTTTTTATCGTCCAAACATTTTCTGGCCGTATGGCTCTGCCAAAACACTGACCCACGTGATGTTTGTTGAAAACGTGTCACATTTAATAAAGCGACGTTCAGTTTGTTGTGGGACTCACATTAACAGATCAACGCTGTTAATGTGCTGAATAAAAAGACACTTTGATAAAAAGCTTAAAACGCCAAACGACCTCTTTCCTCGTTAGAGATGAATCTCTTTAACAGGACTGAGGCTGCAACACAAGACGTTGTTTGGTTCAACACCTAAAACTAATCTACACAAGTCTAAGACGCCATTTACAATGTTTGTGTTTAACATTATGCTTTTATACGTTTTCTTGCTTCAGAAAAGGCGAGGGCGTTTAAAAATATGAGCGCGTGCGAGAGCCTGCGGCTGGCAGTATAAACAAGGTGTGGTATTGTTCTGACGACAGAGGCTCAGTCATGTTCTGCTGAAACGCCACAGGGAAGAAGCCAGCATCCAGAGAAGGCTCATTCTTTATTTAAATATTATTAATAGAAGCGTTTTAATAAAACACAAACTTCTCTGCACTGCTGACCTGTGAGCACACATCTCTTCAGATTTAGGAAGAACTCCTCCTCACCTGTGAGTGTGTGTTCGTTTGTGTTGCAGCAGAGATGAAATTGACTTCCTGCACAAAAGCTTTCAACATTTCTATTTTAGTTCCCTTTCTGGTGCCGTTTGGAAACGTTCCAGCAGCTGAAGGTTTCAACATACAGCGCCTGAACAGTCTCAACACGCTCCCTCTGCTTGTTTTCGTACGTGGACTGTTTTTATATTCTTTTGTTTTTATTAGAACCATTAAGTGTGCAGTTAACAAGGACAGGGTTTCGTTTTAAGGGGTCGCAGCTCAAAACGTCAGGAACCACTGATTTACTAAATTTATTATACAGATTACTGGTGACTGTTACTGCACTCACATTTACAGTTACAGTGAGGGTAGGAGATACAACTCAAAAGGTTAATCTCAGCTGAGCAGATCACACTTTGTTTCCTCATAATTAAAGTTAACTTCTGCTCTGTTGAGTATGAACACATCCATCCAATTAATTGATTCATAATTTATTCTACTTTTTCTAAACCAACAGATGTTAGAAGCACATCTCAAATTGTTTGACTGACTCGATTTTACTGCAGTTTGCTGCAAACAGCCAGTAACTCATTCCACATTATTACATGATGATCAAAATCTTCATTTCATTTTCTCGTATCAGTTACTGATCAGTTTGTTCTCTGGCATTGTGGGAAATCTCACCTCCTGAACGTTGGACTCCTTGGTCAGGATCTCCTTGGCCTGTAGAGGAAACAAACAGATTAATTAATTAGCCACCTTTTCCCCTCACCTGCTCAGACAGAAGCTTAAATAAAACTCTACAGACAAATATTAAATCATGTCACAGCAATTTATACTGCGACCAATAGAAGCCGTACGCATTAGCGATGCAGACTGAAAGAGCTGTGATTGGTCGGCTTGGTAGCAATGCTATTTCCCCAAGCCCACAGGAAGCGCTCCGTGCTTTAACCAGACATTTTTCCCATAGGCTTCAGTGTCAAAGAAGCGGCTGTAAAACGGTGGGCTAAACCGGAAGTTAGTCAGAGGGAGTCAACCCGTGGAAGACTGAAGCTGCTCCGCCAACTAGCCGTCTGGTGGTTTAATTACCGAGCGACGCAGAAGTAAAAACGCCCGCGATGGCGTGGCCGTGTGTAGTATAAACCAGCCTTTAGCCTCCACGACAGACAAACGTTTGCTTTCTTAGGTGTTGTGGCTGCATGACCTCACAGGACACTTTGTTCCGATTCTTCTAATTGTCAGATGTGCTTCAGGCTGACGGCACCGACTCCCCTCAGAGAAAATAAAGCCCAGCTGATTCAAATAGAAAAAAAAATGAAGTAAAAGAAGCTACAAGACTTGGTGCTACTTTGCACGCGTCTCTGCTTTCTGATGTTTTCGTCTCCTACAAGTTTCAATCTCTGGAAAGATAACAACTACAGCCCACCTGAGGTTCTTCACCTTCTAAACTACTACGTCTCAATGTAGGATTCATTTTTCCGTCTATTATTTAGCCTTTTAAATGTACATCACTACATCCCAGGTGACAAATGCAAACGCGGTGAGTTTCTTTCAAGGAACAAGGTACTTGAATTAACATTTAACACCACCACAATGAGTTTAAAGACACTATCAGAGCCTCATAAGAATAATACAAATTATCTACCTATAGTTAGTCAGAAAGAATATTGCTGTACAAATGATATTAACTAATCATTGAGTACAGCAGTTTAAAGTAATGATTTGGGACCTGCTGACTTTGGACGGGCAATAAACACCTGACATTTCCTTGAATCCGTTTTTTCCAGGTCTGTTTGCTCTTTTAAGCTCACACGAGTTGATGTGTTACCTGGTACATCGCTTCTCACCTGACCTGCTTATTACTCCTTGATTGAATTACTTGTTGTAAATGATTGATTAACCAATGTCGGGTTGTTGACCCGGAAAAAAACTCCTCAGCAGACACTTTCAACGTTTAACTGAAGAAACTAAAAAAAGGTTTTTAGTCTCATCTTTTCATTCATTCAACTCTGAAAGAGACAAAAAAATATTTCATCTGATCCCGCAGGAGATCACAGGCTGCAGCTTCTCAGCAACATGATGAATGTATACGGATTGTAAAGTGTGTTTTAATAACATTTAAAAGGCAGAGGAAGCAGAATAGCTGCAGAACGAGTTTGTGGTGCAACAAAACCTACGTGACGTCTGGAAACAGAGAGGATTGACAGGTTTAAGCAAAACAGCGACTGATCGATAAAGACAGGGCGCGGTGGTGATCAATACACGTTAACTAGCACTTATTAGTAGGCTTTCAACATTAAGTCAATATAAACCTCCAGAATTAAACATTTGCAGAGTCCTTCTCTGAGCGCAAAAGGCAGCTCAGTTAATAAACAGGCAGTAAAAGGGGCTCCGTCTATTTGCTGGGAATGGTGTAAAAGATGAGAATTTCGGCCCGTTCGTCCTGAGACGACGGTTGCCGGAAAACCCTCCACATTAGCACCGTTTTATTGGGTCTGGCGGAGCCCTTAACAGACATATCAGGTTTTAATTAATTATTCAGCTGCCACGGAGCTGTTAAACAATGGCAACCTAAGGATGACTGGTCGAAAACGGGGCGAGAACAGCCGCCTTGCCGTGACACCATTCCAGAACTTAGTCGGAGCCGCTTTCGCAGAGTAGGCCCCGCTGAGGCCGTCCGAAAAACCCGGGGTGTTGTTTTAACCAACTTACCTTCTCGCAGAGTGTCCGGACTTGGTTTTCCGATAGCTGCTTACACTCGTTTAGCTGTTCGATCCATTGGTCTAATTCTTTAGTAAAAGATTTGTCTTCCATGACAGCTCGCTAATGCTAGCTGTGTTAGCTCCCTGAAGAAACAAACCGTGTCTCAGCGCCTAGCTTCTGCTAACGTTAGCTGTTAGCTCGTCCTGTTGTTCACCCGATCTAGTCCCGCCAAATCGGTTGGAAAAATCAACGATAAGACGTAAAGTTAACGAGCCCTTCGATCAACTTCTATCATGATAAATAACCGAAGTTAAGTTACCAACGTTAAAAATCGGTTTAAATGGGCCGGGGGAGTCAAAAGGGTCGAATGTCCCCGAGCCGACGGACCGTAGCGGCAGAAAGCAGCGGCGTCGCAACGACTAGCCGATATGCTAAAAGAGCTAGCTACAATAACATCCGGGCATTTCATCACCGCGCAGAGTGAGCGCAGCAGCGGCACCGCGCGGACAGAACGGAAACTACAGGAACAGTTTTCAGTTTTTAACTTTTAAATTAACGCTGGTGTTTTTGTTCGGGATACAATAAAGATCGTTTTATCCCCGTATTATGTCATGACTTTTGATATGACAAATTACTTTTTATACGCTCTGTATCAGTGATGAGAATGCGTTTGACGCAGCTCCACCCCTCCCAGATAAATGCAGAAGGAATTTCTGTCATTTGGGTTTTTAGAACAGTTTGTTTTTAAAATGTATTTCAAGGAGTTTAGTCTCTCTGATCCCAAATTCAGGTTCAGGAGCTTCACATTTTCCGATAGTCTCTGCCGTGTTACGCAGGGTACAGAATATAGTGTAACACCGGTGCACTCTGTGCACTGAATCCAGCGCACCTATCGGTTGTCAACAGTCAGTGCAGCGGCCGTATGGCGGCGTGTTTTACGGCACAAATCAAACCGTGTCGTGTGTCTCTGGATCCAACCGAGAGTCGACCTGCAGTCACAGAAACAGCCGAACTAACCAACAATGGCTCATCTGACTGAAAACCCCGCTGATAAAGAGAGGTGAGTTCTCCTGAAAGCTAGCCTGTTAGCCTAAGCTAAGCTACAGCTAACAGCGCTTAGCCGTTCGGTCACGCTGTCTAAAAATCCCATAGAAGATTTAGGAATTAAAGTACAATTTGGGTTTCTGCTAATGTAATTAGCTTATTGCTTGCTACTGTACTGAACGGTTCCACATAGAAGGGCCACTCTTCAATTCGGCATACATTTAATTTGGGTTTATAGCTTTTAATCCAACAAAAAACTCTTTTTTGGGGGTGTTCACGTTGCTAAACTAACGTTAACTTAACGTACGTTACGGTGCTACGTTAGCTAAATGAGGGAAGTGAGGGATTATGGGAGTAGCTAACTTTCGGGTAAATCTAGTTAAATGTTTATCTTAAGAAAACCTATTTAGAATTATAGTTCCTCATGAGTTAGATATAAAGTCGGATTTCACGAGATCTTTGGTAGAAACCGTGGCAAATGTTAAAGCAGCTTAGTTTTTACATTAAGTTTGGTGTATCCAGTTGTTGAAGCCCTCTAGCATGACGTGTATAAAGGGTCCTTTAAGATCAATAGTTGCTCACGTATCGATCATGCCGACGTTAAATTGTTTTTATTACTGAAGACGATGGAGGACAACAACACGTTTGACTTCACGTTGTAGAAATTAGATTAGATGAAGTGTACGTGAGGTTAACTTCGAGTTTAGCCAAGGATTGGCCCCTTGCTACAGAGTTAGCCTGTGATTTGTCCTGTAGTCCCACTCAGATATGAGTCCTGGTCAGCAAAGTTAGACATGTAATCAAACTACAGAAACAGAAAATACTAAAAACTGTCTTTATTTTGTCCAACACAAAGTCCAAACCCCAAAGACTTTCAGTGTTCAAACAGTAATATGACATTTATAAAGCTGGAACCAGTGACATTTTTACATTTTCAGAATATTTGCCAGTTAATGTTGTCTGTGGATTGAGTTATCAGTTATTGGACTAAGCTCTAAAACGGTTTTACGTCATTATTTCCAAAACATGAATATGTTGCGGACTCTTTATTGTGCAAAACAAGAAATTGGAAGCCAGCGCTTTATTTATTTTATTTCAGGGACAATGCACCTTGATCAATATCACTTTAAAAGTGCCAGATGTTAAATCAGCCATTAAAACGGTAAAACATGTGACATGTAGAATCAGAATGAGGAGAAAGTAAAACATGAAGCAGCAGAACAGGATAAAGAGTTTGATAGGTGGAGAGCTGAATCAGACAAAGGACGACATGATCAGTACAAAGCTGTTCAACATGAAATCACTACGAAGGAGACAGAGACGGTCCGACAGCTCAGAGCTTCAGCTTTAGAGAACATGTTTCTCTGTTTTCTGACATTTAATAGTTAAAAAGATTCATCGATTTATCTGAAAGTCATCGTTCTGAGTCTGTTCAGTAAGATGATGATGATGTTTTTATGTCGAGCACACAGGATGCGTACAGCGCTCTGTATATATATATATAGTGTCATGTCGTGGAAATCTCGACACATCTCTGCGTACGAGCAGCGTGGCCGTTGTCGTGTTTCCTGTTTGTTGTTTTTAGTTTTAAATCCCTGCAGCGAGTCCATGTGTGATGTGTTTCAGGTTCATCTGCATCTACCCGGTCTACATCAACAGCAAGAAGACGCTGGCTGAAGGACGAAGGATCCCCGCAGAGAAGGTGACGCTTTTTCCTTTCCTCCATGTTTCACCAGCTCAACAGCAGGTTGTGTTTTATTTTTCTACCTTCCAAGAAGCTGCTGGTTGTTAGCAGGAACCGAACGGTGCGTTCAAGGACGCTCCACGATGGAGGGCTCCACAATTCCTAAGTAGTGGTCGACCGGTACAGGTTTTTCCCACTAGGCCAAAATTTAGAAAGCAGGCTGATATCAAAACATAGAAAAGTCCTGTATAATCCCAAAATAACCTAAAGCATCTTTTCCATCGGATGTTACCGTGAGAGGGAAAGAGCTGTCGGCTGGAAACGTGGCAAACGGCTACTTTATTGGAAAACAGAGGAAGTGGCACCAAGGCGAGTTGAGCTGGTACCATCTGGTGAAAAAGGGCTTAATATCCATGTAAATGGATCCAATGCAAACGCAGCAGAATCATTGTCACATAAATGTGAGACGGAGGCGTAACTGTAGCAGGACTGCAATTTATGATTATTTTCACAATTAATCATTAAGTCTATAAAATTGTAAAAAAAAATCTCTCACCAGAGTTTCCCAGAGCTCAAAGTGACGTCTTCAGATTGCTTCTTTTGTCCAGCCAACAGACCAAAACCCAAAGAGTCTTCGTTAATCATTAGTCATTAATGAGTCAGAACAGCAGCAAGTCCTCACGTTTAAGAAGATGAATGTTCTGCGTTTGTTCTTTAGGGTTATGAGGGTTCGCTTAGTTCTGCTGTACTGTAGAGTTTCAATACCGATCTGAAACAAATATATTAAAATGTTTCCAGAGAAGAAGTGGACTGAGTTGGAGGATGAAGAGTGCAAATGTAAAGTTTGTTAATGCGAACGCAGCAGAATGATCGTCACATGAAGGCGATAGAAATAACAGCGTGTAGAAAGTGAAGTGGTGCCGTGTGTCTGCAGGCTGTGGAGAACCCGTCCTGCTCTGAGATCAGAGACGTCCTGACGGCGGCGGGGATGAACGTCTACATGGAGGTAAAACGAAAACTCCCTCAGAGAAACAAATATGACACACACACTTCATCAGGGGGTTAAAGTGCCTGTGTGTGTGTTTTCCAGAACAAGCTGCACCCCAGGGAGCTGAACCGGGACGTCCAGTTCAGAGGCCGGATCAGGGTCCAGGTGAAGGAGGCCGACGGCAGCTTCTGTCAGGACAAGTTCTCCTCCCGTGAGTCCTGCACACGCTCTGCTCTGTTTGTGTGATGAAGTAACAGCTTGTTTTTCAGGAGCTGCTTGGTCCAAATCCTGACGTCCTGATTCAGAAACAGTTTCTAAACTTAAATTATTGATCCGACACAAAGTTTAACTGGAAGAAAGTGACTCTGAAGCTGTTGTTCTTTAACAGGAAGTGATTTTCTTCTGAAGTCAGGAACCGTGTCTTTAGTTTAAAAAGTGTTTGTTCTCAGGAGGGGTGATCACTGACCTCAGACCTGTGATAAGGGTGTAGAGAAAAACCAGGATCGAGGTCAGCAGTCCAATGTGTTTTTACAACAGACCAAAATGATCACGGTTATCGGAAATATCGCAGGATTGTTCAAATGTGCTGACACAGAAATACAGTTAGCAGCACTTTGTGCTAAACATTAAGATAATAACAACCGACAGATGCCTCATAGAGAGATATGAAAACTATTTTAAATGTGCACTAACATTAGATATGTTATAAAGTAAATGAGATGACCCCCAGTAACCGTGTTTTCATCTAAATGTCAAACTTTACTTGTTAAATTGAGGACGTTTTTTTCCCAAATTCTGTCGACCTTTTCTAACGTGATACCTCAACATGTGCATTAAAATACGTTGACGGAAACACGACCTGTGATGGCAGCTCACATAAACTCAGAGGAGTCTGCAGACTTTCTCTTGTTGGAACATTTTTACAACCAGCTTTGAGGACGGCCGGATTTTAACTACGTCACGTGTTACCGTGAGTCTGCAGACGCGAACAGCAGCACAACAACGTGTGGAGTTTTCACAAGAGAGCTTCAGTTAGAGAAGCTGTTAGCAAGTCAGAGAGACAAACCAGGACACGTTCCCACATCAGGCTCTGAGCTGAAAGCTGACTCACCCTGCGTTCACTGTGCAGCAGTGGGTGGTGGGACGACCTGTTGCCTCGTCTCGCAGTTTACCTCAGAACATCTATAAAAAAACAAAACACCACCCCACTAACAGTCTCTGAGGAGGCTGACGCTGCCGTGCACCACGTTTTCATGTTTTATCGTCTCTTTCCCTCCTGCAGGTAAAGACGTGATGATGTACGTAGCGGAGATGATCCCTAAACTAAAGACCCGGACCCAGAAGAGCGGAGGAGGAGACACCAGCGCTCAGCAGGGAGAGGGCGGAAAGAAGAGCAAGAAGAAGAAGAAATAGACTCAAAGAGAGAACTTTTTATTTTAAATTAATTTGAAACGTGCAGAATCAAACCCTGGACATTTTATTTTGTTGTTTTTTGACCTCAGAAACTCTTCGGCCGTCGGCGTGTAAAGATAAAACACGTCTGTTTCTCCTTTTTAACTCTTGAAGTGAACGTTTCTGCTCTCAGCTCGTCGTCCAGTTTCTAAAAACAGGCAGCTGCAGAGAGCGAGAACTCATTTCTGTTCTTCCAGCTTTCAGAGAGGGAGAAGTGATGGAGGACGTCTTCTGTCTATGTTTAACTCCACGTTTTGTCTCTTCCAATAAAGAGTTCAGGTTCTCCTTTTTCTCACCTTCATTTGAAAATTAATCGTCCTCGTAGCGGCGATCAGAGGACCTCGTCGTCAGGAGCCTGACGGAGGAAATTAATCTCTAGGTTATGTTGAAGTTTTATAAACGGTTTAGTTTGTTTAAACTTATCGGCTCAGCTGTGGTTAAAACGGGCTCAGCTGAACCAGAACTTGCAGCTCGGTGCGAAACTGGACCTGACTGTTCTGGTTCATCTGAACCGGATGTGATGATGAAGTTCGGCCCGACGCAGGAGTTTCAGGAAGTCACATTTTTATTTTTTAGAGTTTCCCAGTGGTGAAGTACTCAAATCCTGTACTGAAGTAAAAGTACTGCTACCACACTGTACAAATACTCTGCATTGAAATGTTACTGCAGTAGAAGTATGTGAGTATAATCAGGAACATGTACTTAAGAGTATTAAAGCAGTAAAATGTCTCTGTTGTACTTTTATATGTTCTCTCCTCAGATTAGTCCTCATCATTTAAAACAGGAAGTTGCTGCTGCAACTATTAATTATTTTCATTCTGGATCAATCTGCTGATTATTGATTCCGTCTGATCAAAAGAGCAAAACTCAACATGATTCAGTTTATTGTCATTTAAGACAAAGAAAAGCAGCAACTTTGTCACATCTCATCGTCAGTAAAACAGCGGCTGATTAATTTTTAAATTACTGATTGACTAATAGTTTCTGCTTAGTTTTTATAACCTGTTGGGATCAACTTGTCAGATTTTATCAACTATGAGTGTGCAAAAAAACTTTTAAATTGCAAACTAATTAAAGGTGTCAGGTTAATGCAGTAAAAAGTCAAATAGGTAGAAATTAGCATAAAAGGAAAATACTGATGTTCCTTCCACCAGCTGTAGTTACTGTTGGGTATCATAAAATGGAAACAATTAAGTACAGTACTTTTAATTTAACACTTTTGAATACCGTTTTGACAAATATTTAAATAAAATTCAAATAAAAAGAACACTAACGTCAATTCAAACAATCAAAGAAACAAATAATTGATCCTAAATCATGTCTCTCATTCCCAGCAGCAGGTTAAATGATTTAATCTTGTGTTACATCCTGTTTTCAGTCTGTGTCTTCATCTCCTGCCTTTTATTATTCTTTAGGCTTCTGGCAAACTCTGACCTCGGAGACCAGATCTTCCCGTCCCCCAGCCCGATCAGTCCGGCTCCCCGTAGAGAGTTCCTTCGTGCTCTGACTCTTGACTTAAAGAGTATTTCTACAAATGTTTTATGATGTTTGAATTGTCAGTGTTTGACCTGATTATGTACATGTTTAATATTTGACCTCCACTCGTCCGGTCAAACAGCACTGGAGTACCTAACATGTTTTTGATGGTGGAGGAAACCCACGCAAACGCCACCGTGCTGCCCAACAATAAATCAGTTAATAAGGCGCGTACATTATATTTACATTATAGATTCATTCATTCAGAGATTACATGAGTTTTAAAGCTGGTTACTGTAAAAGTTAAAATAAGACAATTATATTCAACATTGTTGTCGACAAAAACGATCCAATCAATCAACAACTTGTTTGAAAATGGATTGATCGTTTGAGCAAAACATTTTCTGCTTCTATCGCAGAAACTGAACAATTTTCTAGTTTTTTGACTGCTGGTCGGACAAAATTAGTGGTCAACTATTAAAATAATCAACTATTGTGACAAATGATTAATCGGTTTGAGTAATTTGTTTTGGGGGGGAACATTCAGCTTATTCAATGTGAATATTTTCTGGATTAGTAAACTGAATATCTTTGAGTTGTGGACAAAACAAACATTTGAGGACGCCACCTTGAGCTTTGGGAAACACTGATCGATATTTTCCACCATTTTGGAACATTTTATAGACCAAACATCAAATCGAGAAACTATTTTACAGATTAATCATCATGGGAAAACATTCTGATATTTTACAGACAGAACAAATTGTTTTAAATAAGACACCCACCCATAAATAAGGAAAACTATTGTTTTAATGGATGAATGAAAACATAAAAAATGAAAGTGTTTTAATTTCAATTAAGAAGTCACTGCTGTTACATGCCAAAAACATGAGACTTCTAACAGAAGCAAGAAACAATCAGACTCAATCTAGTATGTTTATGAAAATGTTTCCACCTTTACTGTTTTTTCAATGCTGTTCTGTGCAAAGATTCAGATTTAAAGCACAGTTATCAGGTTTGAGTCAAAAGGTTAAAAGGTGCTTTAAGATAAACAACAAACAAACAAAAACACAACACTATTTCAGTAACGTTAATTAACTCGCCCTCGGACATTCAACTTTACTTTCTAGCTCACTGAGACATGCTGTTGTTGTGACGTTAGATTATAGCAGCAGTTTGCTAACCAACAAGCAAGCTAAGGTTAGCTACATTACTTGCTTGCGGTGGAATTGGTTTTGCTCCAGACTCGCTTAACCCCACCTTAGTGTAAAGTATCTTTATATTGTTGGGTTGTGTTGTTACTGTGTCATCGTTGGAGTGGTAATGTAGGTAAACAGCTTTGGTTCAGACTGAAATATCTCAACAGTTATTGGATGGATTGCCATGAAAAGTTATACAGATTAAAGTCTTCATTAAGAACCAAATGTGCTTGGATCTGAGAGCCACAGACAGGAAGTCAGACAGTATAGAGGGACAGACTAACACATAGGATTTGTCGAACAGCCAGCGTGGCCCTGATTGTTAACAGTCTTGGCCGGCTGGTAGGTTGTTAACGTCTCTGGCTCAGCTGCCGGTACAGCTGGATGGTCATGAGCTGGATCTCAGGATCTCCAGGTTTGATGTCGATGGCGCTCAGGAAGAAGCCCAGAGCGTCTTCCAGCTTCCCCTCGCTGTAGACCTCCCTCCCTCTGCTCACCAGGGAGTCGTAGCTCTCGTCCTCGGCGACGTCCTTCATCCCGTTGGTCTCGACTCCTGCATCAACGGTGCACTGATCCATTCTCTCGGAGGAGGCGAGCTCGGGCTCGCTGGCTGATTCCTCCAGGTTACTGCACATTTCCTCTGCCGAAGCATCGACGCCATCTGCAGACTCAGAGCAATCCTCCTCCTCCTCCTCCCCTTCTGTGTTTAAGGTCTCTCCAGTGGTCTCCTCCAGCTGAAGCTCATTAGTTGAACCAATGATGTTGTCCTCTTCAGCCTCGTCAGAAATGTCATCTTCATCACCTTCATCCTCATCATCCATGTCGTCGACGATGGACTGGATGAGAGACCGGTTTGAGGCCACTGAGGTGTTTCCTCCAACGCTCTTTCTCCTCCGGAGAGGGGTGGAGGCTCCAAGAACCTGGAAGGGGTTGTCCAGTTTCTCTTCTTCTTCGTCTTCATCACTGTCGTAAATCACTGCAGCTCTTTTCTTCTTCGTAGCCACAAAGGATTCATTCAGCGACTCGTCCATTTCAGAGGCAGACACGTTGAGGCTTTGTCCAAGTGCTTCTCTGTGTTGTCTCTCAGAAAGGGATTTATTCACGTCAAAACTCCCGTCCATCTGCAGCTGTGACAGCAGCTTCCTCTCCTCTGCTTCGGTCTCCTGATGATCCAGGACTTCACCTTCTGAGGACACCTCGCTGTCCTCAAGCTGTAAGTTGAAGTTGCCCTCAAAGGATTCAAGCCCTGCGCCGCTGACTCGGTACGACGTGTCTCCTTTGAAGCTTGAATTAGATGCATGCAGGACAGAAAGTCTTTTGTTCTGCAGGGGGGTGACACGAGCCGGCCCAAAGTCCATCATGGAGTTGTTTGTTGAGTGTGAAGTTCCGTTTAGCTGTTGTTCATCTTCATCATCTGCTGTAACGTAGGACTGGCTGCCGTCACCAGCTGCAGCATCTGCAGCTGCAGACATTTGAGACTCATCTATTAGTTCTTGTACTGAAGCATCTGCGGCTGCAGACGTTTGAGACTCATCTATTGGTTCTTGTACTGAAGCATCTGCGGCCTCAGACGTTTGAGACTCATCTATTGGTTCTTGTACTGAAGCATCTGCGGCCTCAGACGTTTGAGACTCATCTATTGGTTCTTGTACTGAAGCATCTGCGGCCTCAGACGTTTGAGACTCATCTATTGGTTCTTGTACTGCAGCATCTGCGGCCGCAGACGTTTGAGACTCATCTATTAGTTCTTGTACTGAAGCATCTGCGGCCTCAGACGTTTGAGACTCATCTATTAGTTCTTGTACTGAAGCATCTGCGGCCTCAGACGTTTGAGACTCATCTATTAGTTCTTGTACTGAAGCATCTGCAGACGTTTGAGACTCATCTATTAGTTCTTGTACTGCAGCATCTGCGGCCTCAGACGTTTGAGACTCATCTATTAGTTCTTGTACTGAAGCATCTGCAGACGTTTGAGACTCATCTATTAGTTCTTGTACTGAAGCATCTGCCGTCTCACCCTCTGCAGCATCAGTGGGCTCCGACGTCACCAAAGACTCCTCAGTCCCGTCCTGAGGAGAGGCGTCTGCTACTCCTAAGGAACTCCTTTCCTGCTTGACAGACTGAAGTTTCCGGGAATCCAGGTTCAGCTCTGGGAGCTCGTCTTGGCTTACTCCTGCAGCAGGTTGTTCTTCTGAGTTACTCTCATCTGCAGTTAGGTCAATAACGTGGTCACTCAGATTCTGTTGGCCGCCCTCCATGCCAGAACTGGACTGGTCTAAATCTACCACCACCGGTGACCTGTTAAAGTTGCTGTCATGCTGTGGATAGGAAGGACTTGGTCTTGGGTTTCTTGGTTTTTTCTCACGAGACCGCTCTCTGTTGTTGTCCACTGGTTGTCTGAGCCAGGCTGGTTCTGTGCTCGACGCCATGTTCTCTGTTAACTGCATCTGCAACTCTGACTCGGCCTTCATCAGCTCCTGGGCCTTCTGGACCCTCCCCTCGATGTAGTGGTGCGCCTCTTGGTCCTCCGGGGCCTCGTCATGGTTGACGTCGAGGGAAAACATGAGGTCGTGGTCAGAGATGCCAAACATCTCCATGGCGTGGAGGTGGGCGATGTGCTCGTCCAGTTCGGGGTCTGTTCGTCGGTGTCTGGAGTGCAGGGCCTGAAGCTGCAGCTGGGTGGACGAGGACCGAGTGTCCTCCAGAGTGAAGAGCTCCTTCAGCTCCTGCTTGCTGAAGTACCGAAAAGGGTTCTTTTTATCTCCGGTATTCTGTCTGATGAGGGAGTCTTTGAAAACCTGCCGCCTGTAGATTTTCTCCTCCACCGTGCCGCAGGTGATCAGCCTGTAGATGACGACGTTTTCCGTCTGGCCGATGCGGTACGCCCTGTCAACAGCCTGGGCGTCTGTTGCCGGGTTCCAGCTGGGATCGTAGATCACGACTCGGTCTGCCGCCGTCAGAGTGATGCCGACTCCTCCGACCTGGGTGGTCAAGAGGAAGACAGAGTAACGTTTGTCTGTCTGGAACTTGGTGATGCGCCGCTCCCTCTCTGCGATCTGTGTTATTGTGCCGTCCAGTCTCATCACTTTGAAGCCTCTGTTGCCCAGGATGCGTTCGAGGATGTCCAGCACTTTCCTGTAATGAGCAAAGACGAGTGTGCGGTGGCCTTCTTCTCTGAGCCTTTCAAGAAGAGCAAACAGAAAGACGAGCTTCCCAGATTCGGATATTAAGGTGTCGTCAGAGATGTTAGCGATGCTGTGGGCGTCTGTCTCCGTGTCGTCACTCTGCTGACTTTCAGCTGTACTTTCGTCCAAGCCTAACTTGGCTATGGCTGCAGCAGAGAGCAGTCTTGGGTGGTCGCACAGCTTTTTGAGGATGTTTAGTTCAGCTAGAGGTGACCTAGAGGTCATGAGCAGCTCCTTGATGTGGTCCAGTGAAATGAACTGCCTGTATATGTCTTCCTGAGCAGAGCTCAGGTAGGTCCAGACAATCAGGTCGTTCTTTCTCGTGAGGGTGGGCATGACGGCTCCAGAGTCTTTTTGAGGGTTTTGGACTTGGCCGTCCTTGTTGCCCTGGTGTGAGCCGCTCATTTTGTTTTTCTGCACTTCTGCTTTTGTCCTGCGGAGGAAGTAGGGTTTTATAATGGCCATGAGGTTCTCAGACATCCGGGTCCCGAGGACCTTTTCCCCTGGAGTGGCATCCTTCTCTCGGGCCCGGGTGATGGGGTTCTCATACTCGGTTTTGAATGTTTTAGCTGTGCCGAGGAGAGTGCCATGGCAAGCAAAGTCAAAGAGGGCCCACATTTCTTTCAGGTTGTTCTGGACCGGAGTACCCGTGAGAAGAACTCGGTGTTTCGAAGGTATGGCGGAGGCACTTTTGGCTGTTTTGGTGGATGAGGTTTTTATCTTGTGAGCCTCATCCAGGATCATGTAGTCCCACGTGAACTCTCTGCCATGGTACGATGACAGCTGCTGCCAGTTGTTCATGAGCATAGTGTACGTGGTGATGATGACGCCACCTCTCCTCTGAACTCTCTCCAGGTTCCTGGTCCTCTCTCCTTTGCTGGTACCATGGAACTCCGTGACCCTCATGCCGGGAGTCCATTTGGCAAACTCCTTGGTCCAGTTTGTGATGAGTGAAGTAGGCATGACCAGCAGCGCGTGTTTGACCAGCTCGTTATCGTACATACCAGAGAGGAACGAGATCACCTGGATGGTTTTACCGAGGCCCATGTCATCTGCCAAGATCCCGCCTTTACGCCCGTCTCTGTACAGACTGTACATGAAGGCCACTCCGTCTCGCTGGTAGTCATAAAGCTTGTCATATAAGTCTTTGAAAAGCATTAAACCGCTGTTGTTGACGTTGACAAACTCTTCATCCTCTTCCTCAGAGTCATTCTGAGCAATAAGTTCTTCAATTTTCTTTATCCTGGTCTCCAGTTTTTGACTCTGGTGAATGTTGTACGCCGACTTGAAGAATTCCAGAGCTTTGCTCATGTCCCCTTGCCTGGCAACATCTTTTGCATCTTGAATTAATCTGTAAGGGAAAAAAGAAGAGGGTTATTAATCAGAGAATGTTGAAATCTAACTCGATGATGAGGACAAATATCAAGGTACAGATCATAGATTTAGAATCACAGCGCAGGTTTTAGTGTTTAAGAACCAAGTTACAGAAAACTGATCATTCACAACAGTGGGACAAATCTTATTTAACCCTGCAGCCCTACAAGTTGTGTTACAAGTGTGCTCATCTGAGTGGATTTTAGTCTGGTTGTTATTTAACACTATAAACGTTATAATTTTAATATTAATATTTATTAGGCAAGACATAGCAAATCTGGTATCGCTAGCTGGTAACTTTTCAGTTGCAGAACACTGAGTGGTTTTAAAGGTGTCACAATTGGTGATGGGGGAGTCCAGGGCAGTTGTTAAATCACAGCTGATAGTTTGTTTGTTATTATGACACTAAATTTCCTAAACAGAAGGCTCACATTTCAACTTATAATCATGTTTGTTTATTTTTCTCCTAAATGCTTTTTATACCTTCTCGATTTTTAAATTACATTACTTAAGATACTCAAGTATTTCCTGCTGAGGTACATGTACCCCTGGTTTCTACAGGTCATAATTACCCAGTTTTTTTATTTTTAAAGTCATTATCACATTAACTACAACAAAACATGGAGTCCTCACTAAGCTCCCACCACAAGCATCTGTATTTATACCACAGTACAAGCAGCGGCCACTCAGGCCGTCACTAATGCACGCTGATAAGCACTGATATAAAAATGTTCATCACACTGATTCAGTGCCAAACGGGGGGCCGGTTTCACAAAGAAAGACTTTGACTCTGGCTTAGATGTAGTAGTAGCGCTGAGCCAAAAATGTTATCACTATAAAAACATTTCATATTATTCGATATTGATAATTATCACGATATATGTCAAATCGTTATTTCTTTCAAGTTTAAAGGCTGATTGAACTCCTGAGTGAAAACTGTGGTTAAACTTGAAGCCAAACAGTGGGTCACTTCACAAATCTGAGGTAGAACATTCAAAACAATTAAGATAAAATCTTTTTCAACAAATATGATTAGTAAATCTTTATTCAGTCCCTTTTCCTCAACAAAATAAATATCTCAATAGAAAATGTAAGTGCTAATTTGTTCGTGATTCAAATTCAAATATTTATTGAACATTAATTATATTGTTATTGAGGAAAACTATATTCCGATAATAATGATTGTTTTATTGCCCAGCCCTATATACAGTGGGTACGGAAAGTATTCAGACCCCTTTAAATTTTTCACTCTTTGTTTCATTGCAGCCATTTTCCAAAAATCAAAAAAGTTCATTTTATTTCTCAGTAATGTACACTCAGCACCCCATCTTGACAGAAAAAAACAGAAATGTAGAAATTTTTGCAAATTTATTAAAAAAGAAAAACTGAAATATCACATGGTCATAAGTATTCAGACCCTTTGCCGTGACACTCATATTTAACTCAGGTGCTGTCTTTTTCTTCTGATCATCCTTGAGATGGTTCTACACCTTCATTTGAGTCCAGCTGTGTTTGATTATACTGATTGGACTTGATTAGGAAAGCCACACACCTGTCTATATAAGACCTTACAGCTCACAGTGCATGTCAGAGCAAATGAGAATCATGAGGTCAAAGGAACTGCCTGAAGAGCTCAGAGACAGAATTGTGGCAAGGCACAGATCTGGCCAAGGTTACAAAAAAATTTCTGCTGCACTTAAGGTTCCTAAGAGCACAGTGGCCTCCATAATCCTCAAATGGAAGACGTTTGGGACGACCAGAACCCTTCCTAGAGCCGGCCGTCCGGCCAAACTGAGCTATCGGGGGAGAAGAGCCTTGGTGAGAGAGGTAAAGAAGAACCCAAAGGTCACTGTGGCTGAGCTCCAGAGATGCAGTCGGGAGATGGGAGAAAGTTGTAGTAAGTCAACCATCACTGCAGCAATCCACCAGTCGGGGCTTTATGGCAGAGTGGCCCGACGGAAGCCTCTCCTCAGTGCAAGACACATGAAAGCCCGCATGGAGTTTGCTAAAAAAACACCTGAAGGACTCCAAGATGGTGATAAATAAGATCCTCTGGTCTGATGAGACCAAGATAGAACTTTTTGGCCTTAATTCTAAGCGGTATGTGTGGAGAAAACCAGGCACTGCTCATCACCTGTCCAATACAGTCTCAACAGTGAAGCATGGTGGTGGCAGCATCATGCTGTGGGGGTGTTTTTCAGCTGCAGGGACAGGACGACTGGTTGCAATCGAGGGAAAGATGAACGCGGCCAAGTACAGGGATATCCTGGACGAAAACCTTTTCCAGAGTGCTCTGGACCTCAGACTGGGCCGAAGGTTTACCTTCCAACAAGACAATGACCCTAAGCGCACCGCTAAAATAACGAAGGAGTGGCTTCACAACAACTCCGTGGCTGTTCTTGAATGGCCCAGCCAGAGCCCTGACTTAAACCCAATTGAGCATCTCTGGAGAGACCTGAAAATGGCTGTCCACCAACGTTTACCATCCAACCTGACAGAACTGGAGAGGATCTGCAAGGAGGAATGGCAGAGGATACCCAAATCCAGATGTGAAAAACTTGTTGCATCTTTCCCAAAACGACTCATGGCTGTATTAGATCAAAAGGGTGCTTCTACTAAATACTGAGCAAAGGGTCTGAATACTTATGACCATGTGATATTTCAGTTTTTCTTTTTTAATAAATTTGCAAAAATTTCTACATTTCTGTTTTTTTCTGTCAAGATGGGGTGCTGAGTGTACATTACTGAGAAATAAAATGAACTTTTTTGATTTTTGGAAAATGGCTGCAATGAAACAAAGTGAAAAATTGAAAGGGGTCTGAATACTTTCCGTACCCACTGTAGTGGATAGTCAGACTTCAGATAGACATCTAAATCAGACCGTTGCACAAAGCACTGAAGTCCTGACTATCTGAAGTAGGACTACACTGCAATGAATTCTGGGTAAGATAAGACACTTTTCAAAATAAAATAAAAAAAAATGGTGGATTGAGTAGGCACCCATCTTGCATCCTACCACTCAGTACAGTTTACCCCAGAGGGAAAAAATGTGTTTGTTGAAGCAGTATAATACTTACAAGGACATTTTACTTTATAAAAATAATAATTTATTAGCGGAGAGTGTAGGAACAAAAAGCAATGCTTGATTTGGAAAAAAAACTGTGACGACAGTAAAATGCTCCGTACTTGTATAGCGCCTTTCTAGTCTTTTCGACCACTCAAAGCGCTTTTACACTACCTCGCATTCACCATTCAGACACATTCTTACACTGGTGGAACAGCCATCAGGGGCAATTCGGGGTTCAGTCTCTTGCCCAAGGACACATCGTTAACCCTACCACTGAGCGGAGCGTCAAAGATGGATAGAAAAGATCCAAGAACATGGTACAAGATACCAACAAAGACATATTTAAGAGGATATATCCTAAAATGGGAGGAGGCAGGGCTCAGTGCTTCAGCTAATCCATCTGTCAGACTCAGGATAGCTTCCTTGGGTAAACGAAACCGAACGAAGGAAGTCCTCATTGTTGTTATATTTCTAGTAGGCTACTGCGGCCCCTAAAAACTATTTTCTCTCCATAATATCTTCAGCAACCCACAAATCATGAGACATTTCCCCCTTTTTTTTGGCTGTTTGTAATGTAGCTGATTGTTACTGGTGGTTACCAAGGTGACCTAAGTTAGCCTGGGGGTCAGATGTCAAATTGTTTGGGTCTAAACTTAGTCCGTCTTTATTTTTGTGAAACGGTCTAACTTGCAGCAGACTAGTCTGTGAGCAAATTTAAATTTAGTAAAATATCTCTGTGTAATCAGCTGTGTAATTAACAAATAAGTACAAGAAGACTGTCGCGTTAGTCCTATGTCCGTGTTATCAATGTTAATATATACACGTGTGAACATGTGCGGGGTTTTGGCGGTTTGGCCCATCTGCCGTTCACACCGCTGCCATCTTCATCCATTTATTGGCCCCGAGCAGAGGAAAATAAATCAATAACACAACAATAGTAGTTACGTTATGTTTTGCATCTCACCAGCCCTCACTGTCGGATCAGGGCTCAGAGCATCAGCTGGTTCAGGCGTGTTAGAGTTAAAATAATTACACTAATTGCTGTGATATGTGTAAATAGTAAAAGTATTGTTTAATGTAGCAGCAAGTTTTGTCTTTTAGTTTTAGTTAGTCTGTGTTTTCTGTTTAAATTCTTCTGAATTCTGTGTTTTACGCTTTGAGCACATTTGTGATGGATGAATAAAGTTTAAACAGTTCAGTAAGAAAATATTACAAATTGAATCAATATCAATGAATTTGATGTATCATGCTAGTTTGAATTGAGAAAATTCACAATAAATGAATTGCAACAGTAGGATGTTATAGTGTAATACACTTTAATAATAAACAGACATTCAAATGACAAAGAATTTATGAACTTTATCCATGTGGAGAGTAAATTACACATTATATATATTTTGGAACAGACACAACGCTGATCTGATCCTGTAAAAAAAATATTATTTATTGAACATTGATTTAGAAAGCTGCAGTTTACCTGTGGTAGGCGTCCATGTTGTCCTCCGTCTCCATGGACAAAGACCTGCGGAGACAAAAGTGAGAGTTAGAGGCACCAACACGCAAGATGTTTCACCTCTCAACACTTTTATCCACTTTAATGCGAATAACATTTAGCATTTAACACGAGGTGGTTTCTCCCACACACACACGTCTGAGTGGGCGAGTTTCTGAACTCAGAGTCCAGTCTGCTGCTGACCACCTGCTCAGAGACACAAACTGAGGTCTGTCCGTCAGGTAATCAGTAACCCAGGAGGTGGAGGAGGCCTTTGTTTATATTTCCATGAAAGCTGTAAACCTCCAGAGTACAAACGCTGTCTCACACCGTTCAGTCAGAGGTTATGAAGGTGCTGAAGGTGTGAACGTGAACAACAGGTTGAAGAGTATTTAGAGGAGGAGGAGGAGGAGGAGGTATCTGAAGAGGAGACCCTGTTGCCCAAAGAGTTTCCCTTCAGTAAAATGCATTTCAAACAGCTTTCTGCACATTTATGCTGCTTTCTCAGGCTGCACAAGTCCCATCTCTTATCTAAAAAAGATTAATGTTTACACCTTTAGCAATGATCATAATAAACCTTTACTTCAGTAAAGAAGACAGTTATAACAGGTGTGTTATAATAAAAGCGAGTGGTTCCCACCCACATATAGGGAAACCCTCTGCAAAAAAAAAAAAGTGACTTATTGATATCACCATTAAAATTTCCTAGTTTATTATTTACATTAAGATTAAAAAAAAAACAATTGGCTTACAGGTTTTCTGAAATGTTATGTTTGAATATGCAAATGAGCCTGTATGTAATAAAATATGCGCTAATTTGCGTCTTTTTCAAGAACTTAAATCTGAACACTGGATTAAGTCGTGTTCAAAATGATTGCAGAACTGTGCAGGACTCCGGGGCCACAGACCCGTCCTCCTCCTCACGGCTCTCCGCGTCCCATTAGGGTTTATATTTCCTCCTCCCGTCCTCCTCCTCCCGTCCCTCCTCCTCCTCCCGTCCTCCTCCTCCTCCCGTCCTCCTCCTCCCGGCTCTCCGCGTCCCCGGCGTCTCCTCTAAAGGTCGCCCGGGTCTGGTCTCTCTCTCCCGGGTAGCGCTGCGGGTCTGCCGGACTCTATCAAACCGGTGCAGCGTCGCAGCGTCCATGCGGGTTTAAAAACAAACAGGAAGGAGGTTAAAAAGCTCGTGTTGGAACATGAACACCAGCTTTACTCACTTTTCCAGTTTCTCTGAAATCTCCTTGACTCCGCCGTCATGTTCAGAAACCTCCATAGTGACAGTTTCGGCTGTTCAACCTGTAGAAACGCGTTTTTCCCCGCAGACTAACAGGCAGCTGCTGCGGGATTCACCCGCCGGACACTTCGTGTTGTTGCGTTTGAACCCGCAGCTTCTCCCCCCGCCAATTCCTCCCGGCGAATCAGAGAGCACGCTGTACTGACGCTGCGGCGATGTCGTCCAATCCTGGAAACAGACAAGCAACAGTAGGCGGGACCAACACAAAGCACAGCCAATGAGAAGCGTTGAGCGCGGAAGTCCTGACCGCGATGAAAACGGTTGCGTTCACTGGCTGCAGGAAATGTCCGGACATTTCAGAATCTGGAAAGTTCCTTCATTTCCAGGATCCGCCAGAGTTACGGAGAAAAACGGAAACATATACAAACCTATACAAGAAAAACGCGGCCACACAAATGTAAATGTTGAATTAAATATAAGCAGTTATAATACATAATATCAGAGGCGAGTTACGAATTTAATTTAACTTTCCATGCTGTTGTAACCTGACAAATAAATCTTCTTCTACCTTCTTTCAAGACGTCTGTAAAATCTCATCTCATTTGATTTTGTTTTGCTCTGTGCTTCAATGAAGAAAAATGTGTAAATTATTTACTTCTAGTATCATAAATTACCTTGTAATATATGTTTTTAAGGTTAGAATATAAACCCTACTGTGCATGTAATACAGAATTTCCCCTCAGGGATTAATTAAAAATACTGGAAACATGTTTATCACCGTTTTTCAGATTCAGTAAATTTCCTCAGGAGCACATCCACAGTTTTAAAACTGGTACACGTCTTGACAAGTCTCAGCTGCAGGATTCAAGACTTTTAGAGCTTAAGAGGCTCGCGAGTTTCTGCACACTGCTCTTTCTGTAGCACCACATCAAACCACAAAGTCCCTGTCATCAGCCAGGTCCTCAGTTACACAATGTCCCAGATATTTAGCCAGAACCAGACAGAGAGAAGCCGGGAAATCCCTTTTCCTAACGAGCATAATCTTGCGTTAGATTTTAGTGTCAAAGACTGAGCCATGAGAACAAACCCTCAACAGCAGAATCAATTAAAATAACTTGAACTAAAAACCCAGTAAAACAAAATGTTAGATGTTGATGCAGAAATCTTCTCCATCCCACGCGCTTTCTTATCTTTCAGCATCATGGACTTCTTGTGGGGAGACATCTTTATTATTATCAGTGTCGTCCGCTGCAGTTTAACATCCCATAATGTTTCTGAGTAATTTCCTCTCAACCATCAGCGTTTGTTGGTCAAACAGGTTTTACAGTTATTCATTCTTTTGTTTTCTTTCCAGAATTCATTGGGACTATTGTTTTGTAGCTTCCTTGTGAGTCATTCCTCTTAATGAAACGTAGGGAATATTTAAAATTTGCATTTGTCCGTTTCTAGTATTCAAATAAAGGAGCGTGTTTATGTCTGTGTGACTCTTCAACATGTTCAGTCCAGCCTGGCTTTGCCTCGTCGGTCTTGGTCTTATCCAGAGGTCTGCCTGGGACCAGAAGGGACTCCACAATACTTTCATACAAGGTCACTTTGTGTTGACAAGTGGTGGCAACTTAAGGGCTCAGATTAGGAGCGTTAGGGCCCGTAATATATTTGGGTAACGATGCACAAGCATTAAACTCGTGACTTCCTGCATTCTGGAGACATTTTTTTTTCTCCAATTTATGGTGAAAATGTCTTATTTTGTGTGTGGAGGGAAGGTATATTTAAATCGCTTTGCATCTTTTCTAACATTGCAAATAAAAGCATTTTCATTTGTTAGTTGTTAGAACATCTTTAACAAATGCTTTCAAAATGTGGTGGGGACACAATCAGCCATTTAGAAAATGTGATGGGGACGTGGCCCCAGCGTCCCCGGTGTAAATGACACCGAGATCAGCACCATGTTGCAGGTTCTTATAGTTAATATCACTGCGACCAGCCCATTTTCCCTACATGCATTCCGTTGTTTACAGACCTGAGAGAAGGTAAATCGCCCAGATTAATTAATCCTCTTGGTGTCTAAGGACTGGTGTGCATCAGCTGTGCAGATAACCATGAAGCTGCAGCTGTTTTTAAGCAAAAGCACTTTAGCAGAACAATTCTTCACTAAATGATAAAATAAAATAAAATAAAAGACGTGACACAAGCCAACCTGTTGACATATTCCTCTTCAGTCTCATAGATGCTCAGGATGATCAGAATTTCTGGATTCCTAATAATCAGTCCATGTTATTAAACCCGGTTTGTGCAGAACGAGAGTTTATAGAAGCTTTTATTGTGAAGAGTCACGGAGGTTCAGATCAACACACAGAAAACAGACGACAAACTTAACAACACACACTAAATAATCACACACACGTCACGTGACAGAAAGTCTTTTTAAAAACGTAGAATCATCTGTGAAGATATAAAAGACTGAGCAGCGGTGTGTTCAGAGAATCGGAGCCGCTTCCAGAGTTTTGACTCGAGCAGCGAAAAGCAGAACTCTCTTCTCCACCTCGGCGTTGATCGCGGCCGTCGAGGCTCGCGGGTTCTCACGGACGAACTGTGAGATGCTCAGGATGCAGTCTCTCTGAGGAAACACACAGAAACACGATTTCAGAACTCACTTTGTTTTTAAACACATTCCTGTTTCTGAAGACACGGTTTTATTTTTAGTTGTTCGTGCTGGTAACAGAATGTTTGATGCTGAAACAAAAACAATCTCTGATTGAAAAGCAAAAAAAAAAAAAAAATACTAGATGACTTCTGGAAGAAGTTTATTATTTTATTTAACCTTTATTTAACCAAAAGTCCCTTTGAGATATAATCTCTGTTTCAAGGGCGTCCTCTTCATTATGTTGTTGTAATTATTATGTTAATAGTTCATTTAATCTTCTATAAAGTTCCTCACTAATCTTATGATTCTGTTCTGTCCCGTACATGATGCGTTCAGGTTCACACACTGCGCTTGGATACATCATAATGTTTTAAATTACTGTGAGAGCAGATAATATCTGTTCAGGATCTAATAAATTCCTCATTTCAAATAGAATTAAAGAAGTTCATATGAAAAGTTCACACAGAAACTCTCCCTGTAATAAGTTATTAAATAAATTTAAAATAGATTTTCCCCTTTTATGCATCTTTTCTTTAATTGTACGTATTCTCAAGAATTATGGACAGAAGTTTCTCTATTCTATTTTTTAACACCCTTTAATGATTCTCTAAAAATATTTATAAATATAAATTTTACATCCATTAAGGCTTGAATTTTAATTTGTTTTGTACTGAATTCCAGTTTCTCTTCGACTCCCTGTCAAACCCTTTGTTTTTCCTTCAGTAATGAACGCTGCAGACAGGCACCTTGTAGGCGTCCACTTTGTCCTGGCCGGTGATCCGGTTCAGCAGCTCTAGGCCGACCTGGACGCCCGTCACTGCCGTCAAAATCCCGCGGTCCTCCTCAGACTGCGAGTTCAGCCAGCGCAGCAGCGCCATCTGCAGGAGGAGCAAAGTTGACAACTGTTCTTTACGCTGCACCCTGAACACCTCACACGGGCTCACTCAGTGCATCTCAGGTGAAAGTTTGAGTATAATAATGAGATTATTATTCCTCATCAGTAATGTCACTGACTTCTAAAGATGCCACGAAGCTGTTGAATAATTTTCAGACTGGAAAATTAATTAAGTTGCATTTTCAGTCGAATTTGGGGGAAACTACTTCACTGCAAACAGCTGGAAGTCTGTAAGTGTTGACAATAAAACCTGATTTTGCAGATTTTTGTAGCCTTTAATATTTTACTTGTTTAACTAATATGTGATTGTGCTGTTGTTCTACTTCTATATCTTTTCTGTCTTCATCAAAAACAAGACAAATCAATAAATAAAGATGCGAAACAACAATCATTCTTATATCTCATGTAAAACATGAAATTTCAATCACATTTAAATAATAAATACGTCTTTTCTTGCAAACGAAATACTGTCATTGGTTTTCTTTATTGAATTATAGTTTGACTTCGAGGCTCTGAGCTCAGATAATGAACATTAACGCACCTTGAACCCGCAGATTTGCGTTTTTCTCTCTCACCTGCTGAAGCAGCTGCGCGTTGCTCATTTCTCCTGAAACCGACATTTCTGACGAATAAACGTCAAAAAAAACACAAACAGCTGCAGGTTACGACCAAATAAAATCCCTCAGAAGTTCATTTACAGCCAAAAACCGAAGCTAAAGTCGCTATTTTCAGAGAAATATACGGGAAAAACGAAATTCTTGTGTCTCGTTAGGGAATGTAAAATGTCCCACTTCCTGTTTACATCCCTTCTTCTTCTGCTTCTTCTTCGTTGGTGTCTTCAAGGAGACTCTCTGCTGCCACCCAGCGGCCAAAACATGTAGTTACATTAGAGGCGAGACACCGAATAACTTCACTCACAATGAAACTTTAAAATCTTTTATTATTTTTTTTTCTTCCAATATACAAATGTTCTCATTAAGCACGCGCTGATTATCTTCTCACACATTGTGTTTTTCACAATTGCTTGAAATTTTACACCAAACGATGAGTCGATTAATCGTGAACAAATTCGGCAGATTACTTAATAAATAAAATAATTAGCTGGGATCATCAGATACAAGCAGCTCAGACCCTAAAGGAACAGCGGCTGCTCCAACCAGAGACCCAGCAGATTTCATTTTTCTTACTCTATTCAGGTGTGTTGCAGAGACAGCGGATTTTAGTGAGAGCGCTGCGGTGTCAAGTGTAAAGTGTAAATGTGCACAAGTCATGTAGGAGGTTTGTTTAGGGCCCCACGGAGGTCAGGGCCGGCTCTGAACGGCTCTATTTTACTTTGATAAATACTGCAATATTAAATATTTTCCACATCTTGTCACTGAGTTTATGATCCTGTGATGTCAAAGGAGGTTTATTCGTTTTCATATTCGGCTGACATTCAAACCATGTTTATCACATTGCGTTTTCTCCACGACTGAGCGTCTGTTTCCCCCACTGGACTTGAACGCAGCGTCACAGCGCGACCTGTCGGCAGCGGCCACCTCCTCGGTTGAGGGTCACATGGTGCAGGTCGGAGGTCAGCTCTCCTCTCTGGGTTTGGAGAAGGAGCCCAGCTGTTTGGTGTTGGCGTCCCTCAGCTGCTCCAGCTGCCTCTGTCCTCGCCGGTACAGATACTCGATGTGCATCACGTCCGTCTTCTTGATGCGAGCGTTCTCCCTGAACTCGTCGCGGATTCGTGGGATGAATCCCGGCTTGTCTTGGCCGGCCCGCAGGAACTGCCGGTACAGAGCCAGGACCTGCTTCTGCAGCTTACTGTGCCTCGCCATCGGACAAACTCAACCTCACCAGACCAGCGACTCGTCTTAAAAATCAGACACCGGGTCAGCGGGGAAGCTAGGAGGACATGTTGACGCCGGGACTGGACTATCTTCAGCTGCGGCTCCTCTAAAGTCCACTAGAAGCTGCAGTCAGCAAACTCTGATCCTCTCATGTCAGTCTGAGATTTACGATGACCGACAGACACTGAAGGCGACGTAGAACCCTGAATGTGTCATGAGCTTAAAGCTGAAGCTACGGATTGACCTTAAACACACCACGACGCTCCACTTTGTCCCCTTTCTGTTGAGTTTTCGGGCTCCGGTCGTACAGACTGCAGCCTCGGGGCCTCTTTCTTCTTCTTCTTCGCTCTGATTGGCCGAGAAGTCGTCTGACGCGTTCAGGCGTTGGGCTGATGCAGAGGGAGGATCTGAGAGAACGAGTAAAACACACAGTTTAGGTGATGTGACGACAATAAAACCTCGTTCAGACGTACGTGAATCTGGAAGCTGTGTGGAGCGAAGAGGACGCTGCGACCTTCATCGTGTTCTCCATCGGTTGATCGACTAATCGATTAATACTAACGACGTCTGAGCCCTAAGTTTAACACATCTGGCAGATTAGCACTTAATTACCAGCCAACCAGCAAATATTTAAATAATAAAAATATATAATAATAATATAAAGCTCTATAACAAAGTGTCTGACACACTTAGTTAGTTATTAAACTGGACCTTATTATCTGTTTAATTATTAATGTGCAATTTTGTCTGTTGCTATTTATTCACTATTAATGTCCACGATAACAGTTCTTCTAATTATGTAAATATTGTGCATAAATACACTTCTTTTCTTTATCTACCAACTTTCTATTATTATTTCTATTCCTTTTAACTTGATGTGCAACTGTGTATGAAGTACTTCTGATTCTGATTTATTTTAATTTTTTAAATATTAAATGTGTTGGATTCTTTCGTGACTGTTGTTTTATATATATTTTAAAAAATAAAAATAAATTAATATATTTTTAAAAATCCACAAAAAAAAAAACATACACGAACTATGAATTATTACTTACATTTTATAATCTGATTTTAAAATGTTGCACAAACTGCCTCATTGCACGTGTCAATTTAATATTTTTACCAAGTCATACATTAATCTGTCTCCTTGAGTTTTACGGACGTTTCTTGCAGCAGCAGCAGATGGTGGTTGTAGAAGAAGCAGTAGAATAAACACAGGTAAAGGTTCACAGCAGTAAAAGGGACGCAGTTGTATGATATCATATGTTTTGCAAAATTAAGTCAATACATACAGAAGCTGCTTTACATTTATAATCAACTAAAAACTACAATATTAACTGAACCAGGAGGAGGACGAGCAGGTAAACTCACCTGTCCGCCGCCGTTTCACCAGCTGTTCGTTAAATCAGTCGGAGTATGAATTAAAGTGTGAGCTAGCTGCGTTAGCTGGTGCGTGACCTTAAACTACACGTTACAACACCGACGGGAAGCTAATGGACTACAAAACAAGCTGCTTCCGGTCATGGATTTCACAATAAAAAACTCAAGCGCAGGAAAGAATTTGCAATTTAAAAAAAAAAAATGTAGATTTTGTTAACGATTAGGACAACGGAAGAAAAACTCTTAGTTATTATCGCCAATATGTTATAATAGCATTTAATCCAGAGTTAGGTATTTTCTCTAAGATCGTTTTGAAAGAAACCGGAAGAGTGTGCGCATTTCCGGTTCGGCTCGTAGGTGTCAAATGTCAAAACAGAGCCGCAGCAGAGAATCACTTCATTATAGAAATCACTCTACAGGAAGGTTCGTCAGTTTATTTATGTTGTTTTGTTTTAGCGAATCGTTCACAAATACCGTTTCCGGTTGTGAAGTTTGACAGTAGAAACTGAATTTCCGGTGACATCAGCTAACGTTAGCTTCAGTGCTCTCAGCTGATGAGCCATTAATGTCTGCATGTTCATCTCTCAGCTGATGAGCCATTAATGTCTGCATGTTCATCTCTGATCAGGCTGCTTATTAAGTGCTTGTTTGCTCTGTAATGTTTTTTAAAAAGTGGGTCTTGAAGCACATTTGTTTAAACTAGAAAAGTGAAAAGTTTTATCAGCAGTGTTTAGTAAAATTACATTAAAGTTTAAAGCTGGTTGTAAAAACAACAGACACGTCGGTGGTCCATCTGCAGCATGATGTGTAATAAGTAACTCTAATAATCATTAGTGAAGTACAGTAACTTTTTTATACAATAGAACCGGCCCTGTTGTTAACTTTCTGTACTTTAGTGTAATAAAACACTGATATGTTACAGTATTATTGGATCATTTCTGTATTTTTTCCACATATGTTGGTGTTGAATTGACTCGCAGGTACAGGAAGCGTTGAATCCGTGCAGCAGACCGGCTTCCTGTCAAAATGGCGTCCACAAAAAAAGGTGTGACCCGCTTTGTTATTAACAGGAAAGTCTCGCTCCAGTCGGTGGAAACGAGGGAGAGTCAGAGTGAGCACAGTCCGTGAGCGAGACTCCAGTTTCACCCTCGTAGCGATCCTTTCCATGATGCTGTCAGACACCTGGTGTGACAGTCTGAGCCTGTCGAGGGCAAAAGAAACACTCTCTGCCGGCTGAAGGACTCAAAACGTTTTGGACCTACGAGTCATTTCAGCAACAACATGCGTTTTTAAACAGTTTGTCTTTGTGTCCCCGCAGACATGGAGGTGAAGGAGGAGGAGGAGCAGCGGCGGCAGGTGGAGGAGCAGGTGGAGAAGCTGCTGAGCGGTCAGGGGTCGGAGGTCACCGGGTGTGACGTGGGCCTGGAGCAAAGCAAACCTGCGGCTCTGAGGAAGACCGTCACCTACATCGTCTGCGGCGTCATCTTCAACCACGAGGTCACCTGACGGTTTCCTGTCCCTGAAATGTCACGACAGAAAGTTACACCTCTCACGGTTTGTCATACAGTGTGTGCGTGACACGGTTGGGCCACACAAGTGTTTACGTGTGTGTCGTCCTACAGGAGGAGGTGCTGATGGTGCAGGAGGCGAAGCAGGAGTGTTACAAGCAGTGGTACCTGCCTGCAGGGAGGGTGGAGGTGGGGGAGAGCCTGGAGGAGGCGCTGAGGCGGGAGGTGAGACACACACACACACACACACCTGAGCCTGTCCCAGTCGCCTGAGTTACAGCTGTGTTTGTCTGCAGGTGAAGGAGGAGGCGGGGTTTGACTGTGAGCCAATCACCTTGCTGCTGATCCAGGAGCAGGGACCACAGTGGATCCGCTTCATCTTCCTCGCCAAAGTCACAGGTCGGAGGTCACGCACGCGCTCACATGTTCGTGCTTCTCTGCTTATGAGGCGGCTCGTTGACGTAAACCGCTAAAACAAAATTCTGAAGCACGAGGAGGAGACTTAACTTTAACGAACCATCAGCAGCAAATTATTATTTTTACATGTTTGCATTTTGAACACATTTTGGGGACGTGAGAAACGTCAGCACGGGAGACGGGTCGCTCAGCGGCCACGTTGTTCGCATTGTCTGGAAATCTTAATGTTTATCTGAAGGTAAAGTCAAGCTTCATCTTTTTATTGGACAGTTTAAAGCAACATTACGTGAGCGATTTGGCGAGTGTAATTCAGCGCCGTGGTAAAGAAGGACAGCTCTGCAACACGTCGACCACTTTACTAACAGCCAAACATTACTGACTACATGCTTTTACAGGAGAGCCTTTGCTGATTGTAGTTTTTATTTTTTCTGTTTTCTTTTAACAGTATTTTAATTTAAAGAAGTGTTTTCTGGCTTTATTAGATTTAGTGTAGTGTGTGACGCAGCCACAGCTGAAGGTTTCAGATGTGTAATGAAAGACTGTTTGTCTTTGTGCATCAGGGGGAAGTTTGAAGACTCCGTCAGCGGCAGATCAGGAGTCTCTGCAGGCCTGCTGGTGGGACAGACAGTCTTCCCTCCATCTGAGAGGACGAGACATCCTCCGACTCATCGACTGCGGACTCAAGTACGATATTAAACTCTCCGGTCTTTGTGCTAAACACGTCTCAGACATGTCCTTTCCTACAAACTACACATTTTGATAGTACTGACTTTCTATTTTCTGCACACACAGCCTTTGTTTGAGATCAGGGTCAGTAATTTATCACACTGCTCTAACCAACATGTTCTGAATGTTTTTGTATACACAGTAAAGCTGCAACAATTAGTTGTCAACTATTAAATTAATCTCCAACTATCGATTCATCAGTTTGAGTCTCTAAATTCAGTTTCTCAAATGTGAATTTTCCGGACTTCGTACCAGACGTATCGACATTTTCACAATTTTCCGACCAAACAACTAATCGATTAATTGTGAAAATGAAAATAATCGTTGCAGCCCTGATACGTAGTGATGGAAACAGCGAGAGTAAGAAGTTGAACACTAAGATTGAGTCTGACTGCTGTGCTGCTTTCAGGTACCGTAAGAATCCCTGCCATCCTGTCACGTTACCTGTAGACCTGAGCTGCCGTCACGTGGTGCAGAGACTCGTCCTCGTCTTCACCAACGCCGAGGAGCAGATCTGGGTTCTGCTCGTCAAAGGTTAAAAAAAACCAAATGGACTTTATTGTTGTATGTTTTGAAAATCAGAGCTGCTTTTAATCACCATTACAGGTGTGAAGATCCATGAACTTAACACCTTCACGCCTCCTGTCCTGCAGCCCCGGTGCTCCACGTCCCCACAGCGGCGGCGGTGAAGACCCACGCGGTGACCTGGGCGGCAAACATGGTGGCGCAGGACGCCATGCCTAAAGCCTACTACGACTACAACGTCGAC